GATTATATTGTTTTTCTCGCCAAAAACACATGTTTTTCAAGTAAAAGCCAGATATTTAAATATATTTATTTATGAGTCAAATATGTATTTATATGTGAAATAAAACTTCGTTAAAAGGGTTCTTATTATATGATTCGTTTGCCCTCAAAGTCTTATGAATGTAGAGTTAACCGGGCAAAACATTTATTTAAATATAAATATAAGCACTAGTGATAACACTAAAATCTTTGCTCAACTCATTTATCACTTCTATAACAATAGTTAACACTAATTAGCATTTCTTATAAACACGACTGAATAACACTAAAAATATCTGTAAATTGATTGTGAAAACAATTAAATACCAAAAGTTCTTCTGTTGAAAAGTGTGACATTCAATACAAGCGGTTAAAGAGATGTTTCCGTTTCTGCTGAACCCAAACACAGCGCTCACACCATTGGGATAGCGATCGGCGCAGTATTTGCTCCACACGTCGTCCAACGCCGACCTCCAGCCCTCGCTGATGGGGTCGGGAGTCCACGGATGGTATTCACTCACCGTTTCCTTCAAGTTGTCGTATTTGAATGACAATTGACTTCTGGGATCGAAATAACGATCGCTTTCCAACTCATTGTGTTCTGTGAGCAAAGTCTGTCTCAAAAGAGGCGTTAGTTTTGTCATTTACTTCTTATGAGAATAATTTGTACCTTATTTTGAACGGTTTGAACGGAAACGGGAGTCAATTGGTCTTTAATGTGTTGCGAGAAAACGCTGGAATGGCAAACATTTAATTATACAATCAATAGACAAATAATGATCACCTTGATGCCTTTTCTTTCAATAGCTGGTCATCGTTCAAGAGTTGGCGCACATCTTATAAGAGTAGGAATATATATAATTGAATCAAAGTAGAAGACAATTGACAGACCGTTGACCACATCTCTGAACTCTCCGGGCGGCGCGTGAAGTATAAACCGGGTTATTATTTCAATCTGTTTTCAATCATTTGATTACAAATTAATTCAAAAACACAATCGTTTAAAACCTTTTCGCTGTCCGACAGCTGTTTGTCCGAAATGGCGGCCATTTGTGTCCCGTTTTTATCTCTAATGGAAATTTTGTTAAATAAAACTTTGAAACAAAATACTCTTATTCAACAGTTGTTTGCAATCAATGATTCATTCATTGCATACAATATGCTGTTATAGAGAAATGTCTGAAACCGTGACAATTATCATTGATGTGTGTTTTGTACACAATTGTCTGTTAAACAACGTTATTGTACTCTATTAATGATTGCTTTTCTGGTTTCAAATAAAACCGATTTGTTTGCATAAACTTTACACTTGTTAACGCATACAAAATTTACAAATCCCCGGCAAATAAACATTGCAATTACAGACAGAATTGTCAGGTTTTATACAGTATTTTATAATTAATACAAACAGTTCTTATTAATAATGATAAGTTCTAGAATACTTGATAATTATCTNATTAATACAAACAGTTCTTATTAATAATGATAAGTTCTAGAATACTTGATAATTATCTAGTCTTGTTAATTTAAGTATTTAATTACTATTCGAGTACATTATTACATAACTTTTTATAAATAGGTAAAACATTGATGAAATAATTATTTGTGAGTTAATTAAAAGTCACTCGATATGTATTTTTAGTTATATTTAGACATAAAGTATTGATTTATTGCCTATTATCTAATCTATTGTAATCTTTTCATTGTTAGACACAATATATTTCACAAAATCAAACGCTTTATAACAATGTTTTGTAACAAATGTTAATTATTGTCATAAACACAGTATTGAATGTCTTAAACGAGAAATACTTAACTGTTTTAATAATAAAGACCATAATTAGAGTTAACAAAACCTATTATTATTATGACATCTGATATAAAACTTGTCTTTTTTCTGCTCAATAATATTGATTGGTTTAATAGTTACAGAAAAAAGCATAAAATAAAATCATTTAATAAGAAATTAGAGACAAAATGACATTAAATTCTTAATTATTTTTATGTTCAAAACACAAAAATATATATTTAAAATGTAGTAATTGTTTATGATTTGCAAAAATGATAATTAATAAAAGTTGTGCAAAGAATTGGTCAAATA